AAAGGTGTTCTGTAGTTTTATTAGTGTTTAATGCACAGTGATGTTAGTGCATGGCAAACATTGTATTACACTGAAGTGTGAAATACTATAGTATAAACAGGATGCCAACAGGGACACTCCAACAGGTATTGAGTCCACTGAGCTGTCTGATACAAAGTGCTCTCTGCTCTGTCATCCAATGACAGATCAGCTGCCAGAGCAGGAATGAACTCCTGCTGACAGTTCTGCCATTTCACGTCAACTCAGCAGACGATATTTCATGTGGGAGTATGAGGATAATGACTGAGCAACTATTCAATTCAACAGGTCTTGACCCATGTGAGAACAATTTGGACTGTCTATAACACTAGTTACAAATAACTATAATCACTGTGAATAGACAGCAAAAAAATCTATTGCAGTAATGAACTGAGAGTGGAGCAGATTTACATGAATCTGCTGTTATTCACAGGCGGCTGGTGGTCAAACCAAACCTCTGAATATTATTGTATGAAGACGAAGAAGAAAAGCTCCAGTGTGTAATTCTACTCAAACTGTATTATTCAAGATTTCATGGCTGCAAGCTTTGCACACACACATTACAAATAGTATTAACAATAAGGCCAATCACAAAACTACACACAACTCTCCTGCAACTGAACCCACAATCACTGTGCACTTGCCTCTAACCCAACAGACACACTGTCCATGTGCAACTTTCCACCTGTCATAGCAGGATACAAAAAATATTTTAGGCCAGTTAAAAAAGAAAAACAAAGCAGAAAAATAAGGCACAGCTTCTCAGGGTGCACATATGGTTGGATTGCCTCATTTGCAACAGCGCCACCCATGGAAGGAGGCCTTACTAAGGGACTTATGGCAACATCACTATGCCACCTTGAGAGGGTTTTACACCACTTGTTCAAGCACATGACAAGTGTCACGAATTTTTGTGTTTTGTATTCTTACATGTTTTATTCCATTCTATTCTTGCTCTATTCTTCCTACTGTTCTAAGGCTGCTGTTATACCTGAATTTCCCCCAAGTGGATTAATACATTATGTTATCTTTACAAAAGAGGAAACAACATTTATCTATATTCATATCTTGGAATAAATGCTCTAGTAATCTTTTAAAATATAGTTTTCGTCACAATTGCAAGCAACAAAAACTTTCTTTGGATATTTCCAGAGACACAGCAAAGTTTAGCAGTTGAGGCATCATGGGGGTCTCGACTGTCAAACTGTGTTTCACACCCAACTTACTGAGATAACAGCCGCCAACGTCTCCACAGCCCCGGTGCTCAGTGTGATGTAGGGGAGGATGTTATCAGCAAAGCCCGCTTCCCGAAGGATCCCATTAGTGTAGTACCAGATCTGTGAAGAAGGTAACCACAACTTACTTATATTGGTCTTTATAGGTTTTACACATACATCGGCATGACCAACATACACGCAACAAAATTAATGTTATTCGCTTCAATTAAAACCTGACATTTAAAGAATCTCAACAACCTGGACACATGATAAAGTTATGAAACTCCCTGCCTCAGTTTTCCCTGCATTCTCTCCTCTAACCTAAGGTCTGCATTATTCTCTCCAACTGTCCCTGTGACAGATAAAGACACTATATAATATCTATAAAGGCAAATGTCAGAAATTATTAGTTATGACAAAATGAGGCACTGGGCTGTGACAATGGTTGCAGGGATGTTTCTCAGCTGTCAGGTTAACGTCAGCTTCAGTGCACCAAGGTAAGCTGCTGAAACATCAGCTTCAGTGAAACATCAGCGTGTCGCTCTCAGACTGTGATGTTTACTGAAATCATTTGACTTGTCTGATGGTGATGGTGGGGAGTGTGAAGAGTATATGACCTTCAGAGTGATCTAAATTACATCCCTGTCTTCTCTGAATGAAAATATATGCAAATGAAGCCTTGTTCATATCTGTGATTATTTAAATGAGCTTTGTGATTTCTGGGCATCATGTATTTTATCGAGAAGTCCATCAACCTATCAAATGTGAAAATATGAAAACTCAATCATGAAAAATTAAATGAGGTTTTTATTATTGGTAATATACACCCTGAATATTAATTTGGGGGAAAGCAATCACATCCATTAGCAGGCTTTGTATGCAGCCAGCTATGTTGGTCAAATACTATTTCCCACTACTGAGATTATGTGCACAGCTAATCCTGGGTGTGTGAAGGTGGTCTCCCTGTGGTCATACGCAGAAGTGTTGAGCACAAACAAAGCAAGTTCACTGGTTTCAAAAGCTTTGATAATTGATTACATTTTTTAAATTAAAAAAGCAGATGAAAAATGGACAAATGCATAATATAATTTAAAACTTGAACTAAATAAAAGAGCCTACTCATACTATCCTAGACCACCAATGCAGGGTCACTACTTAGCAGGCACAGACCCAGAGGGCCTCTGTTGGGAATATGTTGCCACACTTGGTCCACTGACAGAAAGGCTGTGATTGTATTGATTTTTTTGTCGCTGACAGGTCTGTGATAAGACAGCACACCCCAGCGGCTCAGCAGTTAACCGCCAGCCCAGATGGGGATTTTTTTTAATTATTTTTTTTAAAGACTTGGAAATGATTATGCTTTTTCCAAACATTTTGAAAAATGGAAATGAAATACTGACTTGTTTGTGCAGATTTACCAGGGAAATAGGGCCATGTTTCATGTTGGCTACAGGAAGCTCCAGCTTTTTCTCAAGACAAATTTGACTGATTTCTTATCTTACAACACACTCACTAGATGATTTAAACGTAAGACCACACATTTGACTACACACAGTGGTGAGTCCAGAGACTTGAAATCTCACAGAAACTTGTATGATTCTTCTTTAATAATTATTTTTATGGTGATTTGCAAACAAGTTTTAGTTGCATTAAAGGTGTGTAGAATTTAGTGATATCTAGTGTTGAAATTTAATGTTGCAGCTGAAAACCCCTCACCTCACTCTCCCCTTCCAAACATGAAAAAGAACCTGTGGTAGACTTCAGTTGTCTTAAAAACTCAAAGGTGTTTAGTTTGTCCAGTCTGGACTAATGTAAAAGAGGAGATTTACAATGAGAAATCTGAGAAAAGCAGAGAGCTGGGAGCTGCAGCTTACAGTGTTGAGGCCACAGAGCTGATAGCAGGCCATGGTGATGATGATGGTGATGAGCTGCCAGCGAACAGTTGGGGTCTTCAGCAGCTGTAACACAGAGACTGTGTGCAGGGTGCCCTGAGCCTGAGCCTCCCCCCGCACCTCCTCAAGCTCCTGGGACACATCCGTCTTCCCCAAAAACCTCTGGAAGGCTGACACACACACACACACACACACACACACAAACAAACATCCAATTAAATATATATACATCATCATGAATGAATCAATTTCTTAAAAACCTTAACACTCACTTAGAATACATGATTATAAATAGTATGTGAATAATGTAATTTGTATGCAAACTGAAAGACCTTTTAAAAGTGGCTCTTTCTTGCATAGACTCAGATATTTGCACAGCTTTGTCTGTTGATGCACTTTAACATCTAATTGACTTTTTCACAATGTCCCCATTTATGTTTCCACAATAACCAGCATTTTTCATTATTCAAGGCTAATTCGTTGAACTAGTCGAGCTCCTCACAGGTGATGTTTTAAATAACCAACTCTTCAAATGTTCAATGTCGACAGAGATGTTTCAACAAATCTCTGATCCAACTGGTGCTTTTTATATGAAAAAAATGAATGTTTACATAAGTGCCTGTGTTTTATTCGGTTCCACTAATGTTTTCACTCTAAATGTTTCCTTTGGGGAAACGTCATTCATCAGCACAATGTGACTTTATAGAGCAGTGCAGACGACACACAGCTTATGACAACATGGATGATTTTAGGAGGATAAATGTTTTCTTGTATCGTTGTCTCTTCAGCTTGATGCAGACAAAGACTGGACCTTTTTTTGGTGGCAAATACATTTCAGGAATCTATATTATCTGTTCTTAAGCAGTTTGTGGGCAACATGATTTGTTTGACCAGAAAACCTGAATTGAAACTTTAACTCTGCTCTCCTGCAACAAGTTATTGCAGTTATATATCATACCTAATGTAAGAACAATAGCCACTAGCATTTGACTAATATATTCTTCTCTCAGTCAAATGCACGCGTTGTGAACATGGACTTGAAAATGCTGGAGGGAAAATGTGGAAGCAAAGACTCTTCTCTCACTTTAATCTCATCTCCAGTAAAGGTTGAATCCTTGGTGTTATGGGGAGTCGAGTGTGGGTACAGGTCGAAAACATGACTGAGAGAAGTACATGTGAGCACATGGGGACAGTGAAAGCAGGATGTCGTGTTGTGGGAGTTGCGTGGCAGACAGTGCGAAGCGTTATGGCACAGGAGACAGGAAACCCTGCCAAACTTAATGCTTTGCGAATACCTGATGTTATTGATGGTCAGTGATGAATCTGCTAACCTTTAAGACATTGACACCTTGTTGGAACTGACATAAAGTATGTGCACGCCCTCTTTCTTGACTCTGACAGTCGACTAAATCCATTTCCAAATATTAATCATAAAGTAAAAAGTCTAACCCTTCTCCTTTTTTAGCTACGTGACAAACTAAATGGATGTGTGATGCAGCATTTGGCCTGGTGAATGTGTGTGTCAGTACACAGCTGGTCACACTACAATACAATAGACAGGTTTTTTAATGTTTTAAATATGTGAGAAGCTAATAACTGTGGAGCCTGCAGGCAGTAGTAGTAGATTTTGGCATTGAAAATAGATAACTTTTCAGAGACTGCTGGTTACGATCGCACACTTACAGGAAAGATGTCAGGAAACTTTAGACTTGTACAACTTTTGATACCTTTGAATATCTTGTGTGAAGAACCTTGAATTTGAATGCATTGGATTAAGATGTTTTATGTTTTGTGCTGAGTCGCCTCCTGGCATTGGGATGAGATGCACCTCTAGACAGTTTAACAATCTTGACATGACTTGTAGTGACCTAGACTGTTATCTGCTCCCTCCTGTAAACTTCTGCTGAACTTCAAGGTTTTTGACCTGACTGCTGTAATAATCTCTCTATCTTGATATCTTGTAATTAACTCATTCAAGCAAAGAAAACTGAGGCTCATCAAGACTGAAAACCTATTAAAACTTCAGAAATCAAGATTTTTTCTTCAGCCTCCTGAAAATGGAGTGTTTCTTCAGAAATGAATCTTGTGTTCTTAAACAGAGATGATAACTTTAACTAATGTTTTGCTGCTTTGGCAGAGTTCCACTAAAATAAGCACTTATTTATAAGCTTGTTAACCTTTGGTAAATCCATCCATATCTATACAGCTTATCCTTTGAGGGTTGCAGGGGGAGCTGGAGCCAACCTCAGCAGTTGACATTGGGCGAGAGGTGGGGTACACCATTGAAAGGTCAACATACAGAGACAAATAACCATTCATACTCATATTCACAGAGTCCCCAATCAACCTCACCCCCGATCCGACATACAGATACCAGAGAGAACACAGGTGAAAAAACCCCACTGAAAAAAGGGAGAAAGTGCAAACTCAACACAGAGAGAGCCAGACCAAACTGTGAACCTTCTTGCTATGAGGCAACAGTGCTAACCACTGCACCACACATCGATGGTCAATTGCAACAGTTAAAAGTTAGTTTTTAAAATCAACTTAGTCCTCAACCATTTGAAAACACATCTGGTAAAACATAAATCTCATGAGGGATTGTTTTTAGAAAAAAGTGTCATAGTTCAATGCCAGTTTCATATTTTTCTTCAACATTTAGCGAGTACAGCTCAAGCAGATATCACATTTTGTATTGGAGTTCTATATGCAGTTTTGAGGTTACATAATTTCTGTGGCATCAAGTGTGTGAGACAATTACCACTCGCTGAGAAGTAGACACAAGTGTTGTGTTTTCCTTCCAAATAGGAACATTTCAGGCCACCAAATCCGAAGTCATGCTGTGGCTGTCAATGTCAGTGGTGTGACATATTATTATTATTATTTCAGAGAATGTTGGCATGGGCAACGGTGGTGTTGTCCCCATGAAGGCAAACCATTATATTTCCCCTGCAGGAGAACAGTGAGGCTCCTCACCATGCCACTGTTGTAGTCCTCGCAGTGCCACAATTGAGGAGAACACAAACACTATTTGTTTTTTCTAGCGGTGGCTGAGACACAACACCAGTTTCACATCTTCACCAAGTCCCAAGTAGCCAGAGAACAATTTCTGTACTTGTCAAATAATGTATTGATAATTAAAAACTAGATAAAAAAAATTTATAAAATACAGCCAAAACTACAACAATAAACAATTAATTATTACAATGAACTTCCTAACTGATCAAAAAAAAGGAGAAAATGTGGTCAAAAGTAAAAAAAAAAATGATGTTGATATGGGTTGGAGCAGGAAGATGCATGTCTTTTTGCAGCTCATCTTTGGTCTTTTTTCAGGTAGCAACAGGCCAATAAACTGCAAGGTCTCCCTTGTCCACCAATCGCAACACAAAATCCAAAATTGAAAATGCAGGCCATCCTGCACCATGAGACAAAAGGGAAAACCCCACAGAAACGACCACAGTTGTACCACACACTAAGACAACACTGTCAACAATTCTCATGTCAACCAATATAGAGCCTCCATTACTGTTACTGGAGCATGCTCCTTACAAAAGGCAACAGTGGGTGTGTGATGTAAGCTGTGACATCGTTTCCCAATTGCTTCACTTTACATGAACACATGTTGGGTAAAAAGCTGATACCTAATACCTTGTGATGTTTTCACAAATGTGTTTCATCTAAATTGTATGAATTGTTGTTTTCTTTACCCGAGAATGGGCCCTTTATATTTAAATACTTTATATTTACATCAAGGGGGTCCTCTGGCCACCATGTTTTTTTTTACAGTTGCTCAAACTCTACAAACTAAACACCTTTTTAGTTCATATGACAACTTAAGGTTTCCACAGGTTCTCTCATGTTTGGAAGGGGATAGTGAGGTTAAATTGCAACATGCAATTCCACCACTAGATATCACTAAATTCTACACACTGTACCTTTAAACAAAGGGCAGGACTGCTGCAGATATATTTGAACAGATGAGATGTGTTGCAATAGAACATGCTTCTCCTTTTTTACAATGAATAATGATGATAGGACAATGCGGGCCCCCCCCACTATGTGTGTTGACACCGAATTCCTCAACTGCAATGTTGTAACACAAACCAGCAACATAGTGTTGCTGCACTGCTCCGACCTTTGCCATCAAAACGTCATAGGGGGGAGGTGACAGGAAGAAAACATGTTAATACAGAACAGAGTGAATGAGATATCATGGTAAATGATTAAATGAGTGCAGATTTTTAGAGCAAATGAGAAGATGATTGCTCTAATATGCCATGAGCAGTCTGTTTTTCTGATGTTTTTAATTTGGCACCAGATCTATGGTACATAGTGAGAAAGACTTGCCAGATTGAATGAAAACATGTTTTAGGATTTCAAAAACATAATTTCTTTCCCAGAAAAAATGATGAGAGCTTTTAAATGGTCAGGAACCATCCAGAGCTCTTTTGTCTGTTTCTGACACATAAGCTCTTTCACAAGAACAACTTATACGATAGGACACAGTTTTGGGCCAATTTCCAGCTTTCATCTATAAGGACATTCCCCTCAACGACTTTAAAGCAAACCTCATGAAGTCAAGCTGTTATGTTGTGCCAAATTGAGCCAATCTGATTTAATTACAACTCTGCTCTATAAGAGACACCTGTGGTACGAGAATTATGTGTCATTCATGATACTTTATTATATATATATATATATCTCAGGAATACAGATGCTATCAATATGCCCTAATGTCACACTTCAATTTAATATAATAGATTAAATGCATTAAATTCGAGACATTGAAAGTTTTCTTTCTCTGTTCACATGGGTTAATTCTTGACAAGCCCTGTTTTAGATTATATTAAATGTCGTGGGTTTTGAATGCATTTACAAAAAGTAGTGAGGCAAACCAAAGCATCAAGACCATTTGTTTTGTTAAAATTGATTCATCTGACAATGAAAGCTCACTGAACCTTGAGCGCTGGACAAACAGGATATTTCATTTTACAAAGAACAAATCCCCCAGAACACCCATTTATAATGTATGGACATGAACTTCAAAGAGCTCCGAACACTCCAGAGACAAAGCTGATCAAAGTCGAAGTTGACATAGTTTTCTACATGCTTCGTTAACACATGCACTTTGAGCTTTGCTGCTACCCCATGCTGTTTCCTCTTATGTCAGAGCATGTAAACAGTTGACAGGATCCCACTGTGGTTACTCTTATAAAGCCTGCATTGGCTGAGATGATTAAAAGCAGTCACAAAAAACAGTTTTTGCTTCGGATCGTCCGTCTTGGAGTCATACTGTAGTGAAATATAATCACACAGACATGAAACACATGCAAGCACATCCCTAACAAAAAGAGTTTTCTTCAGTAGCAAAGTAATCCACTGACTCTTGTATGTCCATCCATTGGTACACTGCAAACAGGAACAGCTAATCTAGCATATCTTAAAAGGAGTTCCCTTCAAAAGTGTAAACAAATATAGACTAAATCAATATCACATTTTCATCTCTATACTAAAGCAACACACTCTCCCTTTATAATCATTTTTCAAGCTCTAGGAATGTATGCAGATGTACTGTACACCAGTGTGTAATACCTTTCTCTGCTCCAGCCTCATCCCTCCTCTCCAGCAGTAGGTAGCGAGGACTCTCTGGCAGGAAGGGAAGCACACACAGCTGCAGCAATGCTGGAAACGCCAGGAAGGAAAACAAGTAGTTCCACCTGGACTCCTGTAGACAAAACATTGACAGAGATAAATAAATCAAAGGTTCTGACGTGGAAGAGCTACAGCATGGAGTTGGACAGAATGGTATTTTAGAGATGTTCTATACAGGAGCATTTCAAGGGACTTTGCTGGCCCTAGGAGACCCTATGTCAAAATAGACTAAACACCCTCCCCGAGAACACAGGAAACTTGATAGACATTCTGACATTCAACCAAACCAATCATAGCACTTAAAGGGGTTCTCACAAAACTGTCAGGGCCCTCTTCTCAGAGGCCCCCTCTCAGCTTGGGGCCCCAGGCAACTGCTTTGCCTACCCTGGTGCAGCACCACTGGTTATATAACACTTCATGGAATAAGTGGCTGTACATTCCCACCTTGAGAATTTCTGCCAGCGGTGATGATTATTATTTAAATACAACATAATATATTGTTGTGTTTGTAGAAAATAGGTTATAGGCTTATGGCAACGCTTAGAAAGGCAAAGCTTGATCTAATACTTATGGTGGTTTTCATCCATATATTTGCTTCAAGTAAGAAAGACTGAAATGTCTCTGAGCTAAATGCTGCTTGCTGTTGCAAATCGGTTATCGGATTTATAAAGACAGTGTTGTTGAAAATAAAAAATAACAGTATGGTGTGCTGTGAATACATTTAAATCCACAAGATATTGATTTTATTCAGATATGCACTCATCACTACCCCCCCGACTGTCACACAATTCTAAGAAATGTTGAGTGGGATTAGTGAATGAGGTGAAAAAATATCCTGTCTCCTGATCTGCGTTTTTTCCTCACCCATACTGCATCCTTCCATCATGTTTTGGTAATATGTCCAATAGTTTTTGCACAATCCTGCTAACAATGCAAACAGATAGAAAAAGTAAATCATAATTCTTGTTGGGAAATTCTCCTTTACTGTGGTTACAATATTTTTATCGCAGGGTCTCAGAGATTTTTAAAGTGCCATCTCCCCCACGTTTTCTGATTGACTTTGTTCAAGGTCATTCCTATTTTAACGTGATTAAGTCAAAAACTGACGTGGCAGGTTTTCCCAGTCATTGGCAAGAAATAATCTGCTGATCATGAAGCTGCAATGAGATCATCACACTTTGAAATATAGTTTGGATGGAGAAATTCCAGAGTGAATCTGCTGCATGGAGGCAGACAAGATAAACAGACAAACATGAAGGCAGCTGTATATGCTGTTAGTCATCCAGGTTGCTTCGGCTCCATTACACAGTAATTTCTTTATAATATGCCAGAGAGACCAAATATGTATCAAAGCCTGAAGATGCATAGACACTGGCATAGAACAGGGCGTTTTCAGTTGCCTGCTTTTCAAAACACAGCCATCAAGAGCAATAGAGCACCTGAGTCATTCAAGATAACCTTGGATTTAAAAAAAAAAAGATTCCTGGAAACTGCAGCTTTATAGTCAAATTGTCTTTCTGGGTATTTCAATTGAACATTGATTTCACAAAGTAAAATTCTATACACTATAGACTAGACTGACTCATTCTAACAGGAGCCCCACTTAATTCAAGTGAACTAATTTAAATAATCTTTCATACCTGGCCATCCTTTTTTCACAGAAATTGAATTGAAGCAGGAAAATTTACTTTAATTTTATTTCCGCCAAGATATGTTGCTGCTTGTTCAGTAGAGTCTGTCAACATGAACAAATTATTTGCACATGCCTCCTATCTTACATGCATGGTTTCTGCTATCTCTAAGCTCCACCAGCTCACCAAGCTCTTTTCATGCAGTCACAACATGCTCACCTTGGGCCAATCACCTGTATGTGTCAGAGTTTAAGATGTGATCTCTCCCTCCCGTCAGTCGGTTGTGAGTTCAGCATGGTAATCAATTATTAAACAACCTCCTTACTGCACGACCTCAACTGAGGGAACCTGACAATCTTCCTGCAACCATCCAATCAGAAGCCTTCATCAGATGTCACAACTCCATTCGCATCACCACCACTAGTGTCAAGGCTCAGGGGCAAACCACCTAATTCATAGGACTGCCTCCATAATGTTCTACATCCTGCTGGGGCACCAAAATCTATTCCTCCTGAACATTACAGTTTAATTCATTCTAATTTACTAATTCCCATTCATTTCTCTCCTGGTGAGCTAGAGGAGGAAGGAATGTGTTTCAATAGTAGAGATGGAATATAATATCAGTTATTGTCCTTTAATTAGTGTATAATCCACTAAAAATAAGAATCATGTTTTAGTTAGCCTAGAGGGAGACCATTACATTTGCATTGGGGCCTCTCCTGATGAGACCACTATGGTGCACCATCATCTTTCTACAGAAACCTATGGTGGACAAACCGAACATTGGGTTTAGAAAGGGCCTTTGTGTTTGTAAGTTACCTGATGATCACTGTACTCAGTGGGTTAAATTAGCACTGTTGGATGCGACTAAACCCTACACCCTGAGCCTTTAAAGGTTTGCGGACCATCATTTTATGAACTAAACAGTGCCCATCAAGTGTGACATTTGATGATGTTAGTACTGACATTATCACAGGATTGTTTCTCTATCCAAAAACAACACCTACATAATAGGCTTATTTTTACATTTAAGAGGAAAGAGACAAACACGACCAGTACAGACTAAGGCCAAAGACACTTGTCTGACATTACAGTCATGACTAATAGTGGGCCTCACTCCCATTGAGTACACACTACAAAATCATTAACATCCTGGATGTACATATACCTCATACTGTATGAACCTTTCCACTTTAGAAAGATAAGGAATACAGTTCTGCTTTTTTAAGCATGCCTAAACTTCCAGATTTCTCTGGCACAAGTGGGAGGGGCATATTTGTAGTTGTGCAGTGACTGGGGAAAGAAGTGTCCTTTTGAGAGCAAATGTCAGCTCTCAACTCATAAAAGGTCTGTTGGGAATTCGGCTGCCTAGCCTTTACTCTGAGATCTCATTATATCATAAAAAAAACTTTTAAATTATGCAATTAACTTTTCTGAAACCATTCAAACTTATTCAGTACTTTTTCAGAGTTTCAGGGGTAAACAGTGTTGCAGCGGAATCTATCACAATTGAACTTTTAGGCTTAAAAATGATAAATGACCTCATTTCGACTATGAATGACAGAGCTTGCGAACACTTAGATGACACCACATGAGCAGTATGGGGGCATGTTATGTAGTTTTATTACGTCTAAAAGTGTTTTGTGGACTCAAACACTTCACCCACCCCTCCATCGGCTCAAAAATGAGTGAATTTTCATTTCTGGGTGAACTATCCCTTTAAGTTAGTGAATACATTCTACAGTCATGGTCCACCAAATGCTTTCATTCTTTAAAGTACTGTTCTTCATGGGCTATACTAACCTTGCCATCAATGTGGCAAATTGAATAGTATAACTCTTTTCTTTGACCAGGTGGAGTTAGTGCAAACAGCTGTAAACCCAATATGTTACCAGACAGTAACATCTTCATCATAGACTGTATATAAAGATAAACATGACTGCTCCCAAAAAGTGAAGCCAAAGCATTTCCATTACCACCTGGTGGGGGGATGAAACATGGATCATACTATATAGCCCTCTCGGCTCAAGTACATTTTTCTAAAAATGCTTTTTTGTCAAGTTCTTATCACTCTAATGTTTATGCACATGTTCATCGTCTGGTATGTTTGGCATTAAGTATTTGATGCTCGGCTCAGAATTGGCCAAGTGCAAGTAGTGGCAGGACCTCAATACCACGGCTCCATTCTTAGATCAGTACAACATAGACTCTCTTCAAATGTGTAAGATGGCGAAGATAGTATCTCGAACGATTTGGCTAAATTTTTGGAGAATGGGAGGGAGTGGAGACACGTCGTCCATCTTCTGTGGTATTTATGCTTTATGTTGTATTTTTCTGTCAACTTGAAAAATGTAAGTCCAATATTCATTCCTCTTTTAGCTCCGTTTTTTTTATGCACCAAAACCCAAGAAAAATATTTGGCTATGCAAATGCTAGTTGCCAACTTTGCTGTTTGCTGTGAGGCAGGTAGCATAAACTATGTTTATCACAACTTTTCCACTAAAACAGCCGAAACAATATTGGTCATAATTAAATTAAAGATATGAAGTTCATTGACAGGCTTGTCTGGGCTTGAGCCTGCAAAGAGAATTGCGAGGCGGCTCCGTTTAATTTTATGCCGCCTCATGACAAAATTCTAGGACAGTTAAAACTGCTTAGAGCGTTTGTCCCAGGACAAATTGATGCCTTTACGCGGTTGATTACTGCAAAAGAACTGCATAGCTCCTGTATGATAGTCCCAGAACCTAAGGGGAAAGGTACTGCACGCGCGCACACTCCACTGCTCACTTCTGTCTCTCACACACTCAGCTGACGTCGCTGACTGGCTACAGTTTAAACACTGATTTGTTTAAAATGACGCAACAATATCAAGACTGATCACGTAATGATCAATACTTTTCTCCAATGTGCATTCACCAGCCCGTCCTGCTTGCGCTCTTCCTCTCTGACACACTGAGTAATCCAGACACACACAAACAGTGTCAATCGGACACATGTGTAACCTCAGGCTGGGTAAAACAACAGAACTTGTAAACTTAGAGAGTGTATGGAGAGCAGGAGGAGATGGCGAGGTGCACTGGGTTTGGCTCGATTCGGTTGACAATGCACAGCGCGCATGATAGAGAGACAGATAAGCCGGAATTTACTGACAGCCCATAAAATCTGTAAAAATAACTTTCACTGCCAAAACATCTATGAAAGAGCCCAAATGAATGTAAGTGGACTTAGCAGAGCAGAGCATGGCTCTCTGGGTGTCTGCCTCAGGTGAGGTGGCGCTGGAGCTCTCTGCACTCTGCCTGAGGCAGTGGAGGTACTAGCCCAGGGTTTGGTGCACCCCCCCCCCAGTACCACCTGCAGTGATGATGGTTATGAACCTAATCCCACGGTATGCATTACTTGAACGCGATGTTGCTGTAACAGTCACAGCCCTACTTGAAGTATT